GGGCGGGGTGGAGGGGTGCTGGGGAGGCCAGCGGGGCTTGAGCCACCCGATGCCGGGCGGGCACGCCCCTCCCCTAAGTCACGTGCCCAGAGCACCCGCGCCTGCCCTGCAGTCATGGGGCAAAGGCGGGTTCGGGGGGTGGGGGCGTCCCCAGCTCTTTCTTCCCCACATCTGTGGGTCGGGAGCCCCAGGGCGCCTGTCTCTGCCCCGGGGGGGGGCATGGGCAGGCCCAGGGGAGCCCCCAGCTCTTCCCCACATCTGTGGGTTGGGGGCCCCAGAGCGCCTGTCCTCTGGGGTGTCCTGGGAGCACCCGGCACCGGCCAGGCACAGCCGAGGTGCTGTGATGGGGGGCGGCTCCGGCTTAGGTGGGCAGGGCTGTGAGCAGGGAGCTCCTGAGGGGGTGGAGGCGAGGGGTCCTCCGCCAGCCTGGCCCCGCGCGGCAGGGCCAGACATACAGATGGCGCTCGGCAGGACTGAGTCCTGCTCTCTTGAGGATGGTGGCCGTGCTGCTCCTTCACTGTGGCCTGGGGGCGGGGAGCGCCCGGCCCTCTCCCGCCTCAGTTTCTGTCTGTGAGCGGGGCCCGGCCGTGCCTTCCTTGCCACTGACCCCCCCGCCGTTCCTCCGCAGCTCAACTCCCCCATGAACCCCGTCAGCAGCAGCGAGGACATCAAGCCCCCGCTGGGCCTCAATGGCGTCCTCAAGGTCCCCGCCCACCCCTCAGGAAACATGGCGTCTTTCACCAAGCACATCTGTGCCATCTGCGGGGACCGCTCTTCAGGTAGGTCCCCTGCGGGGTGGGGGTGTCCTCTGAGGCAGAGGACGGGCATGGGGCTGCCCCGGCGTACACCCCTGTGGACGGGTGAGGCCACGGACCAGGGTGTTAGAGGCAGGGATCAGGGGCAGCGGGCACCATGGGCACCAGGGCGGGCTTCAGAGAGGAGGCGACTGTCGATGGCAACCTCAGCAATGTGCAACAGGCGTGCCCCTCTCTGGGCTGTGTTTGGGCGAAGCACCCTCATGTGCCACCGGGGCCCAGCAGTCTGAGTGTGGAGGGTGCTACCCACCCTCTTCTGTGGCGCTGGCTCGGACACAGAGCAGGTGACCGGGGCGGGGGGGTGCCTGGGTCAGGTGGGCCAGAGTTTGGCCCCGCCCGATCCCCGGCCATCCTGGGAGGAGCAGAAGCCAAGGCAGAGCCGGCCTGAGCCCGCTGGGAGTCTGGAGGCCAGGAGGGCCCTCCCGAGGCCTGGCCCGCCGGCTGGCAGTAGTGATGCCAAGGGGGCAGCCCAACCCGCAGCCACTCCCCACTTGCCCCCGCAGGCAAGCACTACGGGGTGTACAGCTGCGAGGGCTGCAAGGGCTTCTTCAAGCGGACGGTGCGTAAGGACCTGACCTACACCTGCCGGGACAACAAGGACTGCCTGATCGACAAGCGGCAGCGCAACCGCTGCCAGTACTGCCGCTACCAGAAGTGCCTGGCCATGGGCATGAAGCGGGAAGGTAAGCCGGTGGCAGGCGTCCCTCCCTGGCCGTGTGCTCCCCAGGGCATGCACACAGGCCTCCGTGGGTCCCGCCCTCCATGGCACTGTGTGGCGGGGCCTGAGCAGAGCCCAACCGACTGGGCAGTTTCTCCGCATTCTGGAAGCGTCTGGCGGGCTCCTTGGCATGCCTCTCGTGACGGAGTGTCCAGAGTGGTGGTTCTGCAGCAGTCCATGCTTGGCGGGCTCCTTGGCATACCTCTCTTGACGGGGTGCTTTCTCCTTCCAGAGTGACTGCTCTGCAGGGGGCAGCACTTCCCCCCGGGAGATGGAGACTTGGTGGTTCCCAGGCCTGTGCCCTCCAAACCAGAACCCGCAGATCCCATGCGTGTGTGGGCTCCTTAGCATTGGGGACTTATGCACAAGGATCTTTGCATTTCCCTTGTGGAGCAGCCCTCCAGCCAGGGCTGCATGGCTCAGGGACAGCATCTTCCTTCCGTGTCACGTCTTTGCTGAGCACCTGCTGTATACCAGGTCCTGGGGTTCCAGAAGAGACAGACTTGTTCCTTCCCACCTATGGCGTCTAGGCCATGGGAACAGATGTCAGTTACCCAGAGTCCCCATGGGGGTATAGACGGCACGTGGGCTCCGGGAGTGGACCAAGGGAAGGAACTTTCCAGACAGCAGCCATCAAAGGCCGAGACCGGAGTGGGGTGTCCTGAGCTATGCGTGCATGGCTTCGTGCTGCGGGTCCCGCTGTCCTGCAAGGGAGGCCTCGGGGGTGAAGCTGCTTAGGCTAAAGTGGCGGAGAGAACGTCCCTGGTGGAAGCCTGGGACCTGCTGAGCTCCGCCTCCGCCGGAGGCCACCTCCAGCCCAGCTGGACCTTGGGTTTTTAGCTCGTTTGATTGATGGCATGTGTGTATTGCGTAATCAGTGGAGAAGGCCGCTCCCCTGGGGTCACTGAATTTACCAGTTGTCCAGCCGACTTGGGGCCAGTGCTTAGCCCAGCCGGAGGTGTGAGCCCCGGCCTGGCTGTCTGGGCCTTGAGTTCCCCACCTGCCGTGTCCCCTTTTCCTCTGATCTGATGACTCCTGGTCTCTGAGTAGATCCCTCCAGCCCCACGCCCCCTGCCCCGGACCTGGGAGGGTGGGAGGTGCCATTGGGGCCGGGGCCTGCTGGTCTGTCCCTGAGTGCTGCAGGAACCCCCCACACCTTCTCTGCTGTGGCGGCTTCTGTGGCCCCACACGGGACCCGTGTGTCTCAGCCTGATGGGTCTGCAAGCAGGGCCCAAATCACTGTCGCACCACCAGGGAGTGTTCTGAGTGGTGGCCCTGGTGCTGCTGTTTCATTTAGTTAATTAATTAATTAGTGAATGTTTTGGTGCCTCCTCGGCCTCAAGTGTTCTTGTTGAGAAACCGAAACCTTGGCTGGACCCCACACCCCTGTGGGCCCTCTTCCTTTAGGCTAAGGGGTGGAGTATGGCAGGCAGGGGGCCTGGAGCTGGCACAGCTCCTGGGGGGTAGTGGGTCCTTGTTCCCACAGAACTGAACCACCTGCCGGGCCGTGTGGACTGTGCCACCTGCCAGCCAGGCCCTTCATAGGGTTCTAGAGTGTGTTCACTGTGCAGGTTGGGAAACTGAGACCCAGGAGATTCCAGCCTTGCTCCAGGTGGTATGCTGGGCTTGAATCCTGGCCTATAACCCCCTCCCAGCCAGGCCTTGCTGCTTTCTCCAGTGAGAGGGCAGAGGAGTCTGTGCCCGCCAGGGAGACATGGCCTGGCCTGGATCACTCTGGGTGCCCCATGCGGTTGGTGCTTGTTGGGGTGGTGAGAGCAGCGTTGCCCCTGAAGGATGAAGACTGGGTCAGGAGCAGTGTGGGGTGGGGTGGGCAGTGAGCTTCACATACCCAGGCATGGAGGCTGGTCTTTCCTGTGGGCAGAGGCTGGGCCTCACCCAGCCCAAGGATACCGCTCCCATGAGGATGGCTAGGTTGGTTAGGGCCCAACACCCCCGGAGCCCGGGCCAGCAGCAGCGGGCACACGTCCTCTGAAAGCGCCCATCAGGTATCCAGGTGGCTCTAGCATGCCATTGCTGCTGGCTCAGGGATGCTTGGTGCTGTGGAAGCCCAGAGGAGGTCCCCGCCCTGCCTCGGGCATCAGGAGGCTCAGGTGGGCAGGAGGGCCGTCCAGGTCAATGTCAGGAATGAAAAGGTGTTGGGATGTGTGCGGCCAGAGGTAACTGCGTCTGTGACACCCGAGCCTGTGGGCAGACCTGGCTCACCCAAAAGATGACAGTTCTGAGCCCTAGAGCGACCATCTGGCCCATGAACCCTGCAGCCTGGCTACCTGTGTGCTGGGTCCTGAAGCCTGGGATGAGGCACTGCGGCCCAGTGGGGCCGTGCAGCCTTGGGGCCAGGGGCCTGGAGTCGCCTGGTCTGACCCTTTCTCTGGTGCCTATCAGTGACGGCCTCTTGTTAGGAGCTCGCAGTGTGGGGGTCATGCCTCACCCCCCACTTGTCCACTTGCACCCTGTGGATGGAGAAACGGTGCAGAGAAGTATAGACTTGGGGAGGTCCCTGGCCAGCACAGGGTGAGCCTGTGTCGTACCCCGGGTGCCCAGTCCCAAGCCCCAGCAGCTTGTGGTCATCCTCGCCTCTGCATCTGCTAGGTGAATCTGGCACTGCAGGCCCGTCCCTGGGCTGAGCACAGCCCAAGACCCGACTGATAGGCTGTGCCGTGAACACCTGGTCCCGCCACCTGCCCCCCCTCGTCTCACCTGGATTTACAAGTCATGGGTGTGCAGTAAAAACCGCCCACAAAGCGCGCGTGCCCCAAACACAACAGCCGTGGCTTAGCCTCACGGGCAGCGGGAGGAGGGGTGCGGCCCCGTGCCAGCAGGCCCTGCTTGTGCTGAGTCTCCTTCCTGCTCCCTGGTGTGTGGGCCATGCACGGACCGTTGGGCTTCCCAGGGGCCGGGAGGGCTTGGGAGGCATGCCCCTGCCCCCCTGCCTCTGGGTACTGGGCAGCACCTCTGGGCCCTCGGTGAATCCTGACAGAGCTCCCCCTCTTCCCTCAGGCCAGACCCCCTGCAAGGGGGACTTGCTGGTGGCGGTGGGCAGGGCTCAGAGCTGCACGAGTCGGGGACGCAGCAGCCCCAGAGGAGCTGTGAGGCCAGGTTTGCCAACCAAGTAGCCCTTGGCCTAGAGCAGGCAGGATGGGAGCCCTCAGCTCTGAGGACAGGCCCGAGCCATCCTGAGCAGCAGCCCCCGGCAGGCTATGCCAGCCGGCCTTGATGTTGCCTGACTCCTCAGCTGGTCTGCTTCCTGGAAACTGAGGCCCGGCGGAGGCGCCATTGCTGGCGCAGTGCTGCCAGGGAGTCTCAGGTCAGTCCTGGGCTGGCTGACCCCAGGGACAGCCCGAGCCTCCCAAGGGCAGCTCTTCCCAACAGGGGCCTCTTGCTCTGGGCAGATGGGCCCCGCTCCCGCGCTGGCTAATGAGGGTGCTGCAGGCCGACGGCATCTTCTCTTGGGCGATGGGGGCCTGTGTCCACAGCAGGCTCCGGGAGGGATGTGCCCCGAAGCCTTCGCCGATGGGGGTGGCAGAGGCCGCTGGGGGGCCCTGGCCCTCCTTGGGCTGCGCCTAGGCCCGTTTGCTGAAACAGGCGGGTGGGGCGATTGGGGACCCAAGGCGCCGGGTCTGATGGGGGAGACAGGTCCCATCCTGGGGGTGCCCAGTCTGATGGGAGAGGCATGCTGGACCACTGCCCCGTCCTTGACTTCCTTCCTCCCCCACCAGGAAGGTCGCACCCGCTTCCTTCCTGCCTCCTTCTGCTTCCTGTGCCCCGTCCCTGGCATTGAAGGGCTGGGGTGCGGAAACGGCAGCGTCGCGTGTGTGTCTCTGCGTGCGGGTGTGCGTGCATACACGTGTGTGTACCTATGTGCGGCACACATGTGCAGGGACGCGGGCAACCTGGGGGCAGCAGCAGGACCCTCGTGGGCTGTGGGAGGAACATGGCGATGACAGTGCTGTGCTGGCTGGTGGCAGGGTTGGAGAGTGGGGCGGTCACAGCGTGTCTGTGTGCACATGCGTGTTTGCATGTGCGTGCGCCTGTGGGTTTGCATGTGGGCGTGTGCGTGTGTGGTTCTCGTGTTCAGATGCTTGTCCTAGGTTGAGTCCCTTGTGGGAGGAAGGCCGCCTCTGGAGACACTCAGTGGCCGTGTGGCCTCTGGCCTCCTCTTGCGTAAAGGCCAGAGTGTTCTGGTAGAGGTCTGTCCTGCCTGGCTCAGGGCCCAGCCTGGGCCGCACGGAGGGCGGAGGAGGCCCTGCTGCTGCCAGTGTCCAAGCAGAAGTGGCGGCAGGCCCAGCCTGCCCGCGGGCCGCGACGCCCGCGCTGTCTGCCTTCCCTGCAGGCCCCCTCTTCCTGCTCTGTCTGGGGAAGGCTGGACGGTCAGAGCCGACCCACCTGGCTGCGCATCTCCTGACGTTGGGGACCCGGCTCTGCTGGGGGCACCGGCCTGGGCTGGGATCCAGCCAGGGGATCTGGGGCTCTCCTGCGGGGATCAGCTGCCAGCACTGGGCCTCCTCTCCCTTCCTGTGGCGGCCCCCACCCCCCCGCTGCCTCCACCGCCTCCCCCAGTGCACTCCCGGGGTGGGAGGATCCCCAGCCTTGTGTTTACAGACGCCGCCCGCCCGAGGCTTCCCGGCGCCGGCGGAGCACAAGTCAAACATGACTCCATCTAGAAGGTGATGGAGCTGGCGAAACATAAATCCCGCTCCCTCCGCCCTGCGCCGGCTATAAATAAAGCCATAATATTTATAATGACGCTGTTTGGAGCTGCCGGGCCCTTCACGGCTTCAAAGTGCTTCACAAAACATCCGCTAATTAATTCTCGGCTGCCCTGGTGAGGAGGCAGGTGCCGCAGTCGCCTGCAGGGGCCCTCCCTTGGGGCCTCCCTGGGACTGTCCTTGGGCAGGAGGAGAGCCCCGGCACTGGGCAGAGGTGGGGGTGAGGGGCATGGCCACGCACCGCTGAGCATCCTGCGGCCCCCTGTGTGCAGATGTCTCCTCGTGGATTTGTCCCTAGGGTAGGCGCTGTCCTTCCCATTGTACAGATGGGGAAACTGAGGTGCAGAGAGGTGGGGGCTTGCCCGGGGCCACCCACTGCTAGGGCAGAGCAGGCCGTCCTCAGCTCAGCCGTGCCCCTAGGCTCCCCGAGCCTCAGTTTCCCCAAGAGGAGGCAGTGGAGCTCAAATGTCCCTCCCAGCCATATTCGGGCACTTAATTCCACCCCAGACCTCCTCCTTGGGTTTCAGATCTGAGTCCCCATTGGCCCAGGGACTGGCTGGGATCCGCCCACGCCAGTTTCTGAGAGGTTGCTCGGGGTCAGGGTGGACCCTTCTGGCCTGAAACAGCATGTAGACGTCCCAGAAGGAGTGACCCGCCCCAGGTGGGCACGGCCCAGCCCTGACCCCATGGAGGGCTGGCGGAAGCAGCCCTGGCCAGCCTCTTGCTGCCCACCCCTGGCCCCCTGCAAGTCTTCTGGAAGGGCCAGGCCTACAGAACTGCCACCCGGATGCCCCACTGGCTGGGCATCTTGGGGACTCCTGTCCTTGGGTCTTGCCGTGAGGGTGGGAAGTCCCTGTGGGAACCAGCGGGGCCTGAGGGAATAGGTGGCACGGGTGGCTGGGAGGCTCCCCATGGAGCAACGCAAGGAAGTGGGCAAGGTTGGTGGCCCAGGCCTAGGGGAAGGGGTTTGCAGAGCCTCCAAGGCAGCGGCCGTTGCACCACAATGGGCAGGGGCATGGAGGGCGCCAGAGGCTGGCAATCCCTTAGGCCCTTGTGCCCCCTGGTGCCCTTGTGTCTGCCAGGCCCACCCGGAGCTCCAGGACAGAAGACAGGGTTGGGTGGGAGCAAAGGTGGCCATCGACGGGTGGCGGGTGCTGGGCGGCCTCGAGGCCACCTGGTGTGTGCCCTGGTGCCGTGGCGTGTCCTGGGATCTGGGAGCACACTGCGGGCCCAGAGAGGCGGCTGCACACTTGGGCCCTCACAGGTACCTTCTTGGGCCTCTGACCCGGAAGAGGAGGGTTGGGGTCAGGCCCTCGGCTCAGCCCAGGCAGGAGGGCCCAGGGAAGAAGCACCGGCCAGGTGTAGGTGTGGGGCGCTACTGAGACATGGGGGGAGGGGCCTTCCCTGGAGAGGGAGCGTGGCACTGTGCTGGGCAGAGAGGACCCTGGCTTGTCATGTTTCCGGCTGTGCCACGTATTCGCTTGAGCCAGTACCTTTGTTTTTCGGAGCCTCCGTTTCCTTCTCCGTAAAACGGGGCGATGATCACGCCTGCCCCGTGGGGCTGGGGGTGGTGGATGAACCACAGAAGGAGGAAGTGGTGGGGGTGGACCAGAGCTCCATTCCAGGCCACCTTGCTGGAGAGGCAGGACTAGTAGGAAGGGGACGCATCTCAGGGAACTTCCCATGAGCCAAGTGGCCACTTCTGTCTAAGCACCGTCCAGGCCTGACACCTGAGTGGTGGACGCCCAGATAGACCGACAGAGGGAGCGGGACAGGTCTCTCGGTGCTCCGAGTGGATGGTCGAGGAAGGTAAATCCAGGAGGGCTGGAGGCCAGGGGAGGAGGTGCTGGTGTCTGGCTGGCCTCAGGATACCTGGGGGAAGTGGGCAGTGAGGGCTCATGGGTGGTCCCGCCTCCAGGCTGGTGGTGGCCCGGCAGTTGTTGGAGTCAGCCTACCACCTACCAGAGCTAGGCTGGGCAGCGCATGTGGCCCTGAGCCGCTGGGCTCAGCTGGCGCAGTGGCCGCTATACTTTATCTTAATGCTCTGGCCGGGGTCCCCAACAGGTTGTGCCCGGGGCAGACTGGCAGGTGTCTCTTGGTGCTGTCTCTCGAGGTTCGGCCGGCAGAACAGAGTGGATGGTCCCTGGGCTGTAGGGCACCAGCTGCCACTTAGCCCGAGTGTGACCAGAGTGGGACTGAGGCCTGTTCCTTCTCTTTGGCAGAGTCCAGTGTCACTGGGGGGCTGGGTGTGGAGGTGTGCAGACACATGGTTTTGTGAAGGTGGGACTCTGAACCTGAGACTGCCCCCCGCCCAAACCCGGCCCTCGCCCTGGCTCTTCACTGGCATGGGTGCTGCTCCTCCTCAGAAGTGTTCTCTGCTCTGCCCCTGGGCCTTTGCACGAGCAGCGTCTTCTGTCTGAGGCATTATTCCTTTTACCTTCTTCTCCAGTCACATCACCACTTTTCCCCGGAAGTCCTCCTGGGTCTCCCTGAGTCTGTAGCCCATCAAAGCCCTTCTCACTCCAGGGGCCCCTGCTGAACTGTCAGCTTGGAGCTGAGCACTGGGCCTGCCTGCCCTGGCCCTGCCTGGCCCCAGACGGGCTCCTGCCGTGGACATTAGCTGGGTGAACTGACGAAAGGCAGGTGTCAGAGCACCCGGCCACGGAGGGGCCAGACCGGGGCAGGGATGGGACTCGGTCTGGCCAGCTCTGAGCGGTGCCTCCCCCACCTTGCCCTGGCAGGGATGCGGGGGTCCCGGGAGTGCCAGCTCAGAGCTGGCCCCATCAGCCCTAACCGCAGCGGCTGGCCAGGCCGGGGTGCTGACAGGCCCCCCGCATTGCAGCCGTGCAGGAGGAACGCCAGCGGGGCAAGGATCGCAACGAGAACGAGGTGGAGTCCACCAGCAGCGCCAACGATGACATGCCCGTGGAGAAGATTCTGGAAGCCGAACTGGCCGTGGAGCCCAAGACCGAGACCTACGTGGAGGCAAACATGGGGCTGAACCCCAGCTCGGTGAGTCTCGGCCCGTGCCTGGCCCTTCCTGCTGAATGAGGGTTCCCCCTGCCGCAGCTTCCCTTGTCCGCCTACCCTCCCACCTGAGCAGTAGACCTGGACGCAGGCTGGCCCAGGAGAGGAGAATGCGGCCCTGTGTCCAGGTCTACCACGGGGTCAGGGCCGGGGCCAGGCTCTAGCCCTGCAGCCGTACCTGCACCCCTCGGCCCTCTCTGCTGGGGCCTGGGTATACTGGGGGGAAGCTGGGCTTGGGGGCAGAGGCTGTCCCCGCCTGAGGGTCCCTGCTCAGAGCCCACGGCCGGCTCTACCCGAAGCCTGGTGGCCTGGTGGGGCTTTCAGCAGGCTGCCATGGCCTTGTCAGGTGGCACGAGGGTGCTGGTATCGGAGGCCCTTCCCGGTGGTGCAGGGGGGTGGGGGTGCTGTCAGCACAGGCACACAGGCGGGTGTCCACAAAGCAGCTCCGTGGCCCCGGTGAGCCCACCCTGGTGGGAGACCCCACTTGTCATGGGCCCCACTGGCCAGGTTGGGCAGGCGAATCTGATTGTTTGGGTCAAAGTTCAGGAGGCTGCACCAGCCTCCACCAGGTTCCAGGTCTGGCCGGCTCTTGGGGGTCCTGTGTCCGCCCCAGGTTCAAGGTCAGCCACCTCTGTGTTGCTGTGTGGGTTCAGGCTGGTCTCTAGGACCCCTTTCCAGGCAGAGCTTGAGGCCACCAGCCTCTGTCCCTTCTCCTCCGTGCTGGCCACTGTCCCCTTCGGCTGCAGGGCCTTTGCTCGCGCCGCCCCTGCTGCCTGGAGTGCCGTCCCTCTGAGTCCCCTCAGGCTGCGGTCTCAGCTGAGGTGTCACTTCCTTGAGGAAGCCCCAACCCTGAGCCCTCATTTGGCCCCCTCCAGGGGGCCCGTCTCTGAGCTGTGGCTTGGAGCACCTGCTCTTTCCCTCATAGCAGTCTCGTGGGATGGGGCGCCGTTGGTTAGTGCCCAGCCCCGTGAGGGTGGGGTGGCATCCAGAATGTTCCCCATCACCCCTTCTGTTGGGGACGGCGGCCCCGCCTGCCCTCGGGGCTCGCATGCAGCGCTCACCCGCATGCTCTGTCCAGGCTGAGAGCGAGGTCCCTTCTTGTCTGCCCTGAGGCCCCAGGACCCCGGCCCTTCTCAGCTCTCCGCCCTGCCCAGCCTCACAGAAGAGGCACGGGGCCCAGACGCGGGCACTTTGTTTTAGAAAAAGCCCCTCTGGGTATGGATGGCGCCCCCTTCTCATTAGTGCCCGGAGCCCGCCGGCCCAGCTCTGACCTAGGTTATGTCTGGTCCGAGTTCCTGCCCTCCCATCCCTTTCCAGCCCCAGCAGAGGGGCGGGCTGGAGGGTGGCTGTAAGGGTTTCCTGATCCAGCAGAAATGCCCCAGGAAAGGTTGGCATGTCCACTAAGGGTTGCCAGGTTTTTATTTTGTCAAGTAAGGACGTTATTTGGGGGGAAATAGCTGCCATCTGCTCTCTGTCATTCCCTGAGAATTGGGCGGTTCAGAGCCATGGCGGTGGCAGGGCTTGCTAGAAGGAAGGGCACGTCTTCCCGTGGGCCAGGCAGTGCTGGCACCTGCCTGGACCCTGGCCCTGCTGGCTCTGACCTTGGGCCGAGCGCCCCCGTGTGCACGGACCTGGGTCCTCCTTCAGGGAATGGCATGTTAAATCCCTTCTTCAGATGGGCCAACGGAGGCCCAGAGAGGGGTCAGCCTCACAGCCGGTGGCGGGTCTCCTTCCAGTGCTGGGCAGGGCCGGGATCCTGCTGACCTGTCTTCCTGGCAGGAGGTGGGGGTGCTCAATAAACATGTGCTGTGGATTGAAGCCCATTTGGTCCCCAAGTGGGAATGGGGGGATGCAGAGAAGTGAAGCCCTTCCTGAGGCCCCCCAGGAGATGGAGCTGGCCAGCTCCGGAGTCCCACTCAGCCCCGCCCCACCCCACCAGCCCTGCTGAACCTCCCGCTGGGAGGGTGCCTCTGCTGCCCCCGCCATCCGGCTCTCTGGCCCCACGTCCTGTTCCCTGTCCTGTCTGCACCCCCTGCAGGCGCCCAGCAGGCAGGGACCCCTGTGCCCGCCCCTGCAGGGGCCTCAGCCGGCCCCGGGGGACTCAGAGTGCCCCTTTCTGTCACCACAGCCCGACCCCGTGTGGGCTTCTGGCGGAGTGGCTGGCCAGCGGCCAGGAAGAAGACAGGTCCCCCAGGGACAAGCTCCCAGGCAGAGCTGGCTGCAGGGACACAGTGCTTGGGGCTGGTCTCCTCTCCCATGTTCCTCTGTCCCCTCCCGGACATGGCTGCCCTGGGGCAGCCTCCCCACCGGCCCATTCTGGGGACTGCCCTGTGGCAGATGGGCAGGCAGGGAGGACGGCCCTCGTCAGCCTTCCACCTGACACTGAGGCCGACAAGCAGGGCCTGTCTGTGCCTGGCCTCCGGGGCACTGAGCACAGGGGCTGGCGCCTGCTGAGTGTTTGGCCTCAGGTCGCTGCTCTAGGAAGGAGTGACCAATGTGTGCAGGCCGTGGGTTACCCATGTAGCAGGGGGGTTTCCAGCCCAGCACAGTGAGTCCCCGGGGACTGCCCAGCCTCTCTCTAGGACCCAGGTCCCCTGGACGACCTGGAGGCCTTGATGCCAGGTTGTCACGGGCCTTCCCGCCTGAGCCCTTGGCAGGCCCCTTGTGCCAGGGCCGTGGTCAGACACCCAAGCGGATGGTTCCAGATGGTCTGTGGAATGACCAGCCGGGCCTCTCTAGCTAGGTACCAGGAGGGTCATGGGGGCCCCCGACATCTGCACCTGGGCCTGGTGTCTTGGCTGTGCCCTCCTGAGCTCCCCCCTGCGCGCCGGGTGGGATGTGGGGGCCGACGCTCTCCCTGGGGTGGGCCACCTTGACCACCGGAGCTCCAACACCTGCCCCCCACATCTGGGTTTCCTCAGCTCCCGGCCCCTGCCTCCTGAGGCCCTAGGAGGGTAACTTGGGGTCCCGTGGCTCCGTGAGTCTTCCATGGCTGCTGTGACAAACCATTGCCGACCCAGCAGCTAAAAACAGCACAGTTTCATCATCTGACAGTTCTCAAGGTCAGAAACCCGAGGCCAGTCTCCCTGGGCTAAAGCGGTCCCCCGATGACACAGGGCTGTCTTCCACTTGAGGTCCACGCCTCGGCCACGTCTGCCAAGTCCCTCTTGCCGTGCAGGGCCACACAGACGCAGGTTCTGGGGATCACTGCGTGGGGGTCTCTGGGCGGCAGCCAGCCCGTGGCACGGGTGCAGCGTGTGGGGCGGGGCTGCGTCCCCCGTGGCTGCGTTGCTGCCTGGGCTTCACACAGCGCCCCCTTCCTCCACCGCAGCCCAACGACCCCGTCACCAACATCTGCCAGGCAGCCGACAAGCAGCTGTTCACCCTGGTGGAGTGGGCCAAGCGGATCCCGCACTTCTCAGAGCTGCCGCTGGACGACCAGGTCATCCTGCTGCGGGCCGGTGAGTCGCCGGGCCTGGAGGCCAGGCGGGCGCCGCCTTCCCCGGGGGGCCGTCTGGGGCCTCAGTGTCCCTTCCCTCCCTCGCAGGAGGTGTGCGGTGCAGGGTCCCCCTCGCGGCCGTCGGAGAGGCTGGGCGCCGTCGGGACTCTCGGGAGGGAGGCGGGCGTGACCAGGGCTGCCCAGGAGGCCCATGCCCTGGTCTGTCTGCCGCTCTGAGCCCGCAGCTCCCTCTCCAAGTGGGATCGGGAAGCCCGCAGCTATGGCACAAATCCGTGTCCTCTGTGCTCAGCACGTACGGGGTACGCAGCCGGCCCCGGGGCTGGGGTCCAGTCGACCAGGAAGGCTAGACGAGACAGGCGGCTGTTCCTTCGCCTGGAAGGGGGCACGAGGGACATGCTGGTCGGCAGTTGGGTCCTGCCGAGTGACTGGGGGCGGTTGAGACCCGGGACCTTAGTGCAGGATCCTGCTGGTGCAGCAGAGGGACACAGGTGTGCCTGGGGCCGCCGCCCACCACCCTCCCAGCTGCGACGGCTGTGCTCGTGCCTGTCCCACGGCCCCCTGGGGCCCAGGTGTCCCAGCTACCTCAGCTTTCTGCTCGTGCCCCGTGGGCTCCCCAGCGTCAGCCTGGCCCAGGGAGCCCTGACCGAGGGACGGCAGTTCCTGAGTGGAAAGTGGAGAACAGACCTCCAGCAGACAGGCTCCCTGTGAAGCGTGGAACATTCTGGAAGCTGTTTGGGTCAGGACCAGGGTCACGGTGGCTGTGTGTGGCATGGCCTGGCCCTCTGGCTGTCTTCTCTTTTTTTTTTTTTTTGAGTCGGAGTCTCACTCTGTCGCCCAGACTGGAGTGCAGTGGCCGCTCCCACCCACCGCAGCCTCGACCTGCTGGGCTCCAGCGATCCTTCCGCCTCAGTCTTCCGAGTGGCCGGAATTACAGGCACGCGCTACCACGTCCGGCTGATTTTTGATTTATTGTAGAGATGAGGTCTCGCTGCCCAGGCAGGTCTCAAACCCATGGGCTCAGGCAATCCACTCACCTCAGCCTCCCAAAGGCGCGGGATTACAGGCTGAGCCACCGAGCCCGGCCTGTCTGTTCTTAAGGCCCTCTGTAATTACATTGGGCCCTCTGGATGAGCCAGGACGAGCTTTCATCAGGGTCCTCAAGGCCAGGGCATATGGCCGTCTGCTTTTGTGGGCACAGGCATCCTTCAGAATGTGGTGCGTGCTCCACCCTTGGAGGGGGACACATCCGCCCAGCCCTTGCTCTTAGGGCTTCTTTGCCGGAGCCCTCGGTTCAGAGCTTCTGCGCGGCCACTCAGAGCCCGCCTGACTTCAGTGGGCTTTGAGACAGCCACGGCCTTCACAGGGAGGGTCCGGTGACTTCCCACCAGGTGGACGGTTGAGGGCAGCATGGCACACGTGGCTCTTTTCCTTCAAAACTGCCAGTTTGCTGTCTCGCTGGGGAGACCAGAAAGTTTGGGGCTCAGCAGAGCCCTGAGTTGTGTCAGATGGCCCTGCTGGTGGTGGTTGGCGTGGCATCTAGCCCTGTGGCCCCTGTGTTCTGGCCTGGCCCGTGGGAGCCATTTGGCGGCCTTGACGTGGAGTCCGAAGATTCTGGAAGCTCATCAGACAGGATTCAGTGGGTCTGAAGGCCCTGGGCATTTGTGGGGTGGGGGTGAAGCATGTGTAGGAGTTTTTGGGGCAGGGCCAGCCTCAGATTTGGAGGACATTCTGACCCAGGGGGCAGCCCTGGTGAGGCCCCTTATTCATCTTGAGCTTAGAGCCTGGAGAAAGACCCTATGTCCTTATATCTTGTCCCTGAGGTCCATGTCCTCCATTGGTGGACATGTCCTGGGCTGCAGCCAGGCTATGCGCTTGTGTCCCAGGGCTTGCGGTTGCCCTCCTGTCAGGTGAGCGGGCACTTAGTAAGGAGAACACTTGCCCTGAAGTTTACTGTCAAGTGTGTTCCTCTCTCTTAATTTCTCTCTATTTTTTTTTTTTTTGAGTTGGAGTCTCACTTGGTCGCCCAGACAGGAGTGCAGTGGCCAGCCTCGACCTGCTGGGCTCCGGTGATCCTTCCGCCTCAGCCTTCCGAGTAGCCGGAATTACAGGCATGCGCTACCACGCCCGGCTGATTTTTTGATTTATTGTAGAGATGAGGTCTCGCCAAGTTGCCCAGGCAGGTTTCGAACCCGCGGGCTCAGGCAATTCACTCACCTCAGCCTCCCAAAGGCGCGGGATTACAGGCTGAGCCACTCTTAATTTCTCTTATTCGCTTCCAAGCAGGACTAGGCAGTTGGCGAGGGCAGGAGAGGAGCACTGAGGGAGGGAGGGACTTAGGGACGGGAGCCGAGGTGCAGGCGGGTGTGCCGCAGGGCTCTCCTGCGCTGGAGAGGCATCCCTGGGGTTCCATCTGCGCTCCCAGCCCCGGTCCTTCCTGGCGCCAGGCCTGTGCTGTGCCAGGATTTCAGAAGTGAGCCCGCCCCATCCCTGCTGGGGTCCCAGGGACTCTCAGGGTGGTGGGAGGGGAGGCAGCGTCTCAGGTGAGCCCCCTGGGCAAGAAGTGGGTTTCTTTAATCAAAGAGAGTCTGGCTAAGCAGAGGAAGCTCCTTTCACTGCAGGCCTCATCAGAGCCTTTGGAATGCTAATGTACGACTTTGGTGCAGAATGGTTGGTAGTTTCTTGCACCTACCCACCTTTCTTATTCTTCTCTTCAGCCCGCTGCCTACTAACACCTGGCTGAGAAAGGGCCGTGTGGACTGGGTGGAGGAGGTGCTAGACCTGTGTTGGTGACATGTTTTCAGCCCTGGCTCCTCAACCGGACCACCCGGTACAGGCTGTGTCCTCCCAAGGCCAGGGGACAGACCCAGCTGGTCCTCCATGGCACGGCCCAGGGATGGGTGGGTGCCAATCCCGCCTGGCCCACATTAGCATGCCTGGGAGGTGGTGTCCTCTGGGCCAGGGCCTCCCTCCTGGGACCCTCATATGACCAAGTCGTGAGGTGGGGATGGTGGGGCTTGCCTCCTGGGTCCCCACAGGGGTCGGGCACATGTTGGGCTGAGGAAGAGGCAGGCGATGGTATGGCAGTCCTAACCTGTCCACCCTCCTAACCCATCCACACGTATGCCTCATGTCTCAGTTTCCCCTGGGCACAGCAGGGCTGCTACCTGTGTCTAGGATCGCAATCAGGATTAAGTGAGATAATCCGATGATACTATCCACCATGGAGCCCAGAACCTCTTGAATACCTGGGGCGTGCTGAAAATTGCCGTTGTTAGCATTGAAGATGGTTGTGTGCCGTCCACGCTACAGGACTCATGAAAAGCCCTGTGCTCACACGCTTTTCTGTTTTAAGTTTTTCTTTGCTTTTGGATGCCTGCTCCCATTGTTCATGCTAGAACCTCACACTGAGAGGGTTGCATTGGGCTTATGGATCTAAAGTGCCTGGCGTCAATTTATTTTTATATTATTTTATTTATTTACTTTTGAGTTTTTTTTTTTAAGCAGGATTTGTTGAGAGGACAGGAAAGCTCCCACAGTAGGAGGGAACCCAAGGGGGTTGCCCTATTTTTGAGTTGGAGTCTCACTTTGTCGCCCAGGCTGGAGTGCCGTGGCACGCTCACGGCCACTGCAGCCTGGACCTGCTGGGCTCAGACAATTCTTCCTCCTCAGCCTTCCAAGTGGCTGGAACTACAGGCATATGCCACCACGCCGGGCTAATTTTTTTTTAATTTATGGTGGAGACGAAGTCTTGCCAAGTTGCCCAGGCTGGTCTTGAACCCCTGGGCTCTGACGATCCCCTTGCCTCTGCCTCCCAAAGTACTGGGATTACAGGCTATATTATTTTATTTTAACTTTTCTTTTAGAGACAGGGTCTTGCTCTGTCGCCCAGGCTAGCGTACAGTGGTGCAGTCATAGCAAACTGCAGCCTCAGCCTCCTGGGCTCTACTGATTCTTCCACCTCAGCCTCCCAGTAGCAGAGACTATAGGCATGTGCCACTGCACATGGCTTATTTTTTAATATTTTGTAGGGAAGGAGTCTTTCTACATTTCCCTTGGTCGTCAACTCCTGGGCTTAAGTGATCCTCCCACCTCAGTCTCCCAAAGTGCTGGGATTGCAGTCATGAGCCACTGCGCCAGGCTAATTTTTAAATTGGTTTGGGTTTAATAATTCCCTGTTGGGTGCACTTCACATAGCACACATCGGTCTCGAGAGTTGGCTCCTGGGACCGTGGCAGTGGTGGTTCTGTGGCCACCCCAGAGAGAAGCCCTGGGAGGTCTCCCACGCGCTCTGTGGCATGTGCGTCCCTGCACATGCAGACAGAGGCCTCTGTGGGCACATGTGTTTGTGGGCACCTGGGCCGGACAAAGCCACAGGAAACGCTTTGTGCAGGACTTGGCAGGGCCTTTACGGTGCCGGTGTGTGCGGTAGGAGAAAGGCGTTTCTCAAACTTGGGTGCTCTGGAACCTCTTTTCTGTGGGATGCTTCAAGGGGTCAGGGTTCCGACGGGATGGATCAGGGACTCGCGGCCTCGGGGGGTCCGACGGGAGGCCCGGGGCGGGGTGGGCCTGGGGGCCTGGAGACAGCGAGTGACCGTGTGCCTCTCCCACAGGCTGGAACGAGCTGCTCATCGCCTCCTTCTCCCACCGCTCCATCGCCGTGAAGGACGGGATCCTCCTGGCCACCGGGCTGCACGTCCACCGGAACAGCGCCCACAGCGCAGGGGTGGGCGCCATCTTTGACAGGTGGGGGTGGGT